GCACTCTACCACTGAGCCACCTTCCCAGCCCCCCAGCTGTCCTTTTCTTATTTTTGTTTTTACTTTCTTGGTTGGTTGGTTGGTTGTGGGGCTTGAACTCAGGGCTTGGGCATTGTCCCTGAGTCTCTTTGTGTTCAAGGCTAGTGCTCTACCATTTGAGCCACAGTGCCACTTATGGTTTTTGAGGAGTTAATTAGAGATAAGAGTCTCATGGGGATTTTTTTTTTTTTTGCCTGGGCTGGCCTTGACTCAGGATCCTCAGATCTCAGCCTCTTGAGTAGCTAGGATTTTAGGCATGAGCCACTTTGAAACCCAGGGTGGCCTTGAATTCAAAATACTCATGTCACCTTTTCAGGTGCTAGGATTGCCTGTGTGATCAACACACTCAGCGTCTTAGGCCATCTTCAGTACTCATCTTAGAATGCTGTGTGATAACCAAGTCGCAGCTCCTCATTTGTAGCGCTGCACTAATACAAATCTTTTCTTAAATGACAATGAAATCATCTTCACCAATCTATCACAATAGGAAGCATTTGCTAGTGTCCTGTCAATTCAGATATCCCTTTTAAATGTTCGTCTTTGAAAAGACTGTAACTTCTGCTGCGTATAACCTTTACTTTGAGAAACACTCTCTTCTTCCCAATAGCAGCCAAACCAAGTTACTGCCCCTGAAAGGCACCTCTGCCTTTGTTCCTTCTTGCTCGGGGGAATCCTTCCTCTTCCTCCCAGCCTGTCACATTTGTCTGTTCCTTAGGGCCTATCTGAATTCTCCTCTCTTCAGGACACTTTTCCATGCCTTTGATTGGGGTTTACTCAGGTCCTGTACATTCTACCTTATACGTTTAGGGATGCCATGCTGATGCTTGTGTATTGATAAAGTCCTTAACAGCAGGGACTATTTGCTTCTCCAGTACTGCATACAGCTCATACACTTGCCAACTCAGTTGTCCGTGTCTTGATTGTGACTTACTTGAGTCAGGGATCAAGGAGAATTAGGTAATTTTTGTTTTATCTGTCACTCCAGTCAAACACCTGTGGCTCACGCCTGTAATCCTAGCTACTCAGGATTCTGAGATCTAGGGATCACGATCCAAAGTCAACCGGAAATGGAACTATCGCTCAACAGGGTAGAGCACTTGCCTTGAGTGAAAAAGCTCAGGGACAGTGCCCAGGCCCCGAGTTCAAGACCCACAACTGATAGTGAGCAAAACAAACCCAGTTTAGGAGGCTCCAAATAGGTAATCGTAAAGCCTCATATATTTTCAAGAAAAGTTTTTTTTTTCTTTTTTGGAAGCTAGGACAACCCTTTTCTATTTAATTACTAAGGTAGAAATGATATAACTATGGTTTTTGCCTATCTTTCCAGGCTGCACCTTAAATGGCCAAGAAGTGAGACTCACAGTCCACTATGAAAATGGATTCACTGTCTCCAGGGAAAATGGAGGCTCCAGCAGCATTGTATACCGCTACCCCTTTGAACGGCTGAAAATGTCCGCTGATGATGGCATCAGAAACCTCTACCTAGATTTTGGTGGTCCTGAGGGGGAGCTGGTAAGGGTACTTCTGAAAACACGTTTACACTAATAACTAGTCTGCTCCTCGTTGCTTTTACCTCAAGTAGGAAAGTATGGCCTGACATTTGACACTCATTGGAGCCAGGAAATTCTTCAGTTTTCAAGATAGCATTTGAAGAGTAAGGTTTTTATCAAAAATAAGATACAAAGCCGGGCACCAGTGGTTCACGCCTATAATCCTAGCTACTCAGGAGGCTGAGATCTGAGGATGGAAGTTCAAAGCCAGCCTGGGCAGGAAAGTCCGTGAAACTCTTTATCTCCAATAAACCACCAGAAAACCCGAAGTGGCACTGTAGCTCAAGTGGTAGAGTGCTAGCCTTAAGCTTAAAGAGCTGAGGGACAGCGCTCAGGCCCAGAGTTCAAACCCCACGACTGACAAAATAAATAAATAAAAATAAGATACAAAAAACAAGCTCACATCTGTAATCCTAGCTACTCAGCAGGATGATATCTGAAGATCACAGTTTGAAGCCAGCCTGGGCAGGAAGTCTGTGAGTTGCTTATCTCTAAGTAACCAGCAAAAAGCCAGAAGTGGAGCTGGGGTTCAAGTGGTAGAGTCCCAATCTTATACAAAAAGCTCAGGGACATCACCCAGGCCCTGAGTTCAATTCCAAAGACCCCCCACCCCGCAAAAAAAAAAAAAATTCTGTCCATTGCTGTGATCAGGTTTTAGAGGTAAGAGTTAACTATAGTTAACTATATCCTTAATTTATTGATGCCAAATATTAACTAACTGCTTGCTGAACTCAGCAACCTGATCCCAGATCTCCTGGTTCTTCTTGGCAGCTGTCCAGACTGAAGACCTCTGCACATAATCATCCCCACAGCAATCTAGTCAGTCAGTCAGAAATGGTGTCTATGGACCATTATGCTTCAGCTGAATCCACTGTGGTTTTTCCTGGGAAATACAGTTAGCATTAATGTTCTCCAGACAAGATATTCCTCTTTATTTTAAACACTACTTATAGTTCTAACTACAAGGCATGGTAGAACCCAATACCCACAAGTGTCTCCTGGTTGCAGCTATGAAAGGTCATACCATCTAAAGGTGTTTATTTTGCGAACTGTCTGTTTATGGTAGTGATGGCTGCTGTCCTTTCTCCACAGGCCATGGACCTGCACTCTTGTCCAAAGCCAATTGTGTTCGTGCTGCATACTTTCTTGTCAGCCAAAGTCACGCGCATGGGACTGCTCGTGTGAGCAGCAGACGTCAGAGAAGAGCCGTGGCTACCGCAAGAAGGATTTCCACCTCGCACAAATGAAAGCTCTGTGTTCTTTCCTCCAGTACAGTGCCTTCCCAAGGACCTGCAAATCACTGCTAAACCATAACTGGTTTAAAGAAAAGCCTACTTTTCCCAAGCCACCTAGGCCAGAATTTCTAGGACTCTTAATAAGCTCCAAAATGAAGCTGTTGATGTATCTTCTCCTTTCATAATGTGGTTTACAAGTAATTAGGTTTATTTCCTCATGGCTCTTTGTTTTCCCTTTTTGAATACCAAATAGCCAAGAACGGTTTTTCTTTTCTTCTTATGTAGGATTTGTCTCAAGTTTAGCCTCTGTGTTTTATTCAGGATGACTGTTTCTTCCCAGGTGCTAGTGTGTAGCAGCCGTTGCTTCTTGATCATTTCAGACAAGTCATATGGGCTGTCGGAGTCCACATCTTTGCCTGTTCCTTCCTCTCTAGACAGTCCTTCAATTGCATCACCAAAGGGTTCTTCCCTCTGCCTTGGCTCTCACTGTATCTGACCCCTCCCATCACTGCCCACCTTATCACCAGCTCTGTCCCTCGAAAGTGCTAATCTTAGGACTCAGAACTTGCAAAATGCGATTTATCTTGCCTCTCTTTTTGGTGGTGTCCAAGTCGAAAAGCAAGTTGGAAAACATTGCTTTGAAAGAAAAAATTTGACTTCTTGTAGATTTCTCTGATTTTACTTTTGGCAAGAGCCAGGGAATGAATGGTCTAAGGTTTATTTTAAAAGAAAATCCTCATTTTAAGCTAAGCCATTTTTTATTGCTTACCAAATGTGCCTTTGGTTAGGGTTGGTGGAGCTTTATTAGTGGCTATTTTAATTACTGGATATCACTGCCATTTCAGGGATATCGTCTATCCTAGCTCTGAAAAATTATCCTTGAGGTGGGTTACTTTAATGGCATCTTGTTTAGTGTGCAGATCTCGGAGAAAGATAAATCCAGCAAGAACTAGCTGATTTAAGGAGTTTGTGGGTTTATGAGTTAGGCCAGCCTTTCAGCACAAATATGTGGGGCCTTTGGGCTGTGTGTACCCATGCAGGAGCCCCAGCCTTCCTCCCCCATAGCCCTTCAGTGGTTAAGGTACTACGTGTGACCAGGGTGATGAGGCTCAGTTACCTGAATTTTGTTCACATGGCTAAGGATCATCACTAGGACACAGTAGCAGTGAAATTGCACTTTTTTGTGGTCTTAGAGAATCATACTCAACTTAATTTTCCTAATTTTAGAGGAGAGATAAATAGTCTGAAAACATTTTAAATGGATCATGTATACAAACTCTCAGCTCTCCAAAGAAAAGTCTAGAACTAGCTCTCGTTTTCTAGATTTATCAAGAGTAGCACACAAGGATACGAGCATTACAGTTGGTGGCATTCCCATGTGTGTGTGTGTGTGTGTGACAGAACTGTGATGTAAACCCTGAGCTGTTTGGTTTGAACATAGACTGATGGAGGGCCGTGCGGAAGATAGACATTCAGCCAACTCTGTAGTCCCACCATTGTCCCCCAGCTGCAGAGGTCAGCCTCCGTCTGTGGTCATAGTAAGAAAATAAGTATTAAAGCTCCAAAAATGAATGATCTGACTGGAACTGAAAATCTAGAGAAAAGCATTTTCAAGCATTTTTTAAATGTGTTTGAAAATCCGTAAACCTAAGGTTGGTTCCATCTGAGACACATTCGCAATTCAGGGGGAAATGTTTTCAAGGTCCAGCCCTGATTTCTGCAAGCAGAATTTCACCAAACAGCAATCTCAGGAAAGAGAGCTTGTTGGCTTCTCTTATTATTAAGATGAGAAGTTGAACGATGCATTTGGACTTCAGCAGTAAAGCCACCCGGTTGAAGCTTTCTGTGTTACTGTGAAAGAAGGTCCGAAAAAGAGGTGTATGACAATGTGGGCAGGGAAGACATTTCAGCTGATTTTGCTCATGTTTATAGACTGTCATGTATAACACTGAGGCCCCACAGGGGTTTAATATCATTTAAGACTTAAAGTGAGATTAAGATGTAGGGAAGTTCTCATCCCCTAGCAAAAGCCCTCTGCCACTGTTTTATCTACTGCCTGTTCTACATACTTTAACCGCCAGCCCGTCACAGGTGGGCAAGGTTGTTACTCTGTGTGGGATTTTCAGACCACAAATGAAGTGCTTTTACGTGCGGGGCACCTTGAAATGTACCTATTTTGTATTTAAATGCCAAAGTATGGCAGATCATTTTCAAATGATCTTCATCTTCATTGTTTCCTCTTTTTTTATAGAGCCAGTTGAGTTGTCATTTTTCATTTTGAATTAGGGGAATTGCTGAGGATGCTTTGAGCTCCTGTGTAGAGAATAGAAAGGGGACTGCAGAGCTGTGCTGCTCGTCCCGTAGCCCAGCCCCCTTCCCGAACCGAGGCCTGGCTTCAGCATCCTGTCCACACTCATGAAGCCTGCTTCCCATGAAGAGCGCGCCTCCCCCTCCCCGTGCGCCTCTCCTTCTCCCGGAACAGGAACCCAAGAAGGGGAAAAGGCTCAGCTTAGCTTGGCTTAAGTTTAGCTTAATTTAGCCTAGTTTTTCTTTCTCTTTTACTCTTTCTTTTCTTTCCTTTTCCCTTTCTTTCCTTCCTTCTTTCTTTTTTTTTTCTTTTCTTTTTTGTTGGTCATGGGGCTTGAACTCTGGGCCTGAGCGCTGTCCCTGAACTCTTCAGCTCAAGGCTAACACTCTATCACTTGAGCTACAAGGCCACTTCCAGTTTTCTGATAGTTTATTGGAGATAAGAGTTTCACGGACTTTCCTGCCCGGGCTGGCTTTGAACCTTGATCCTCAGATCTCAGCCTTCTGAGTGAGCCACCAGCGCCCGGCCTGCTGCCTGCCTGCCTGCCTTCCTTCCTTCCTTCCTTCCTTCCTTCCTTCCTTCCTTCCTTTCTTAATTTCTTAATTTCTTTCTTGTTGAGTCTTCTTCTAAAGTCATCAAACCATCCTATTCTGGAAATTGGTTTCTAATATTTTATTTGAAGAAATACTTAGATGTATGTTTATGCAGTATTTATTAGATAATTTTAACTGTAAACCCTCCTACCTAGTAGACGGAGTTTCAGTTTAATAATGGGATCTGGCCAGGAAGTAAAGAATAGTACTTTAGATGGGTGCTAGGGTTCATGCCTGTAATCCCAGCTACTCAGAAGCTGAGATCTGAGGATCATGGTTCAAAGCCAGATCTGGAAGGAAAGTCCATGAAACTCTTTATCTCCAGTTAACTACCAAAAAGGCCAGAAGTGGAGCTGTGGCTCAAGTGGTAGAGCACTAGCCTTGAGCAAAAAAGCTAAAAGATGGCACCCAGTTCCTGAGTTCAAGCCCTAGGACTGGTACGCACATGCGCGCACACACACACACATATCATATATATATATATATATATATATATATATATATATTACTTTAAATGTCATTCACTTATTTTAAAGCCATGTCTTAGCACTTTTTCAGCTAGGGAAAGTCTGACCGTACCTGGTTTCATCATCTGAACTCTCACAAACTTTGTACCTGGAAATTATTGCATGGCAGGAAATAGAATTAATTTCTTTTCTATGTACATAAATAGAAAAATCTCTGTGACCAATAGATAACTAATATTACTGTTTTCCTAACTTAGGCTCATAAAGAGAATAATAAAGCCAGTTAAAACTTTAATAGCTGACAAACCAAAATTTATTCTTTAAAAAGTGAATCTGTGTGGAATCTGGATAAGATTATGTTTCCCTTAGCCAGATACTGGTAGCTCACACCTATAATCCTAGCTACCCAGGAGACTGAGATCTGAGAATCACGGTTCAAAGCCAGCACGGGCAGGAAAGGCCGTGAGACTCTTATCTCCAATTAACCACCAGAAAACTGGAAGTGGCACTGAGGCTCAAGTGGTAGAGCACTACTAGTCTTGAGCTATAGAACTGAGGGACAGCACTCAAGGCCCAGAGTTCAAGCCCCATGACCAACAGCAACAAAAAAGGTTGTTTTCCCCAGAAACAGATTTTGCAGTGAGTAGACAAAAATGTGAGATGAGTATATAGATTTGTTAAAACTTTGTGAGTAACAATCAGTCTCCTTTCATTTAAATGTATGTGATTATATTTGTTCATTTTCAACACTATGGAAGAATATGTCCATTTTTATGCAAATTACCTTCTAAGCTGCTATGCAAATTATATTGTAGCCCTACCTGCTTAAAGAGTTAAACATTGGGACTGGGAAGGTGGCTCAGTGGTAGAGTGCATGCCTTGCAAGCATGAGGCCCTGGGTTCGATTCCTCAGCACCACATAAACAGAAAAAGCCGGAAGTGGTGCTGTGGCTCCAGTGGTAGAACGCTAGCCTTGAGCTGAAGAGCTGAGGGACAGCGCCCAGGCCCAGAGTTCAGGCCCCATGACCGGTAAAAAAAAAAAAAAAAAAGTTAAGCATTGTTTTAAACAGGGAGGATCTTTAGACTTTTTTGTATCTTGGACACTTATTTTGAACTGTGTTCCTATTCTTTTCATTGGTTGTAACTGTTGATTGTACATAATGTTTAAACTATCCAAATATCCAGCTTCCGTTTCCACGTGGCTGCTGTGAAATGGCTGGTTAGAAAGCCAAAGGTCTTGTTTTCCAGCCCCTAAGGAAGAAGTAAAATGCCAGGTCACTTTGGTCTCAAAGCAAATTGCCCTCAACAGGTCTTAATATCTATGTAACTGAGACTTTTTTTTAAATTGCCGTAGTGCAGAAATGTTTAAGTTGAATTGGACTATAGTCATTTTCATTCTTTTTCTTCTCCGTTAGAATCTCTTTCAGTGAAATTCCAGTTGTTACATGGCTTTTCTTTTTCCCCTGTTGAAGATGGAAGGAGATGAACCTGCCATGCTCCTGAGTCCTTATTTTAATTGTTTGGTAACTGCGCATTATTTTCACATACCGTCTTTAAAGGATGATAGCAGCAGTCTGCCTTGCACTGTTTTTTTAAGCTGTCTCACTGCATTGGGTTTATAGACATTCAATAAC